ACGCATATCATTATGTAGCTGTACAAATTAGTCGCACCGACAGCATGGCTTCATTCAAATAATTTCCCTCTTCTCCTTCAATTTAATTGTTAGGCTTTGGAAAGTCATATAACGTCACCGTTGTTGCGTCACTCTTATAACTTTGTTGGACATTGCGAGTTACATACATATATCTTTGCCATTTGAATATTTATGGCGCAGAATGCTCTAATAATGTCTGTACATCCGTAGGCTTACTCTGGGGCGGTAAATCGCCTTAAACTAATCGCCCAAAATCGCATTACATCGCGGGTTAAAATTGTAAAATTTCTCTTAAATCGCCTAAAATCGCTTAAAATCACATTAACTTGCCAACATGTATTCTGTTTGATAAATTGAGTCTATGTACTCAAGTTTATCAATTGTTGCTATTTTGCTGGCAAATCATGTAATCCAGGTGATTTGCAATCAAAAGTAATACAACATGGATAAATCAAATAAGTGGATTAGGCTGACAATATTTGGTCACTCAATAGGCACCGGTCATTGATAAAAACATAGCCTTTTTCTGCTTTATGCAGGCTTTACAATAATTACGCAATTCTGGGATCTAAAAGCTAGACCCATAGATCCCATGCACTGCCAGCAACAAAATTGAGTTACTAGTTAATTTCATTATTGGTGTAAATGGAGGCTGGGCTACAATTTATGTGGACTATGGAGGCTGGGCTACAAATTACTCTACTCTCTAGCTATAATATACATGGCTTCTCAAAGCATAATTGCTGTTAGAACAACAGTACTGTAGGAGACTATGTCTATAAGAGTCGATGCATGAGTACGAGTGTTGATTTATATAATAAGGTCATCATGCAATTTGTGCGCTGTTGCATGTAGATCGAGCACTGCATTGTATGGTTGTACTTCGACATGTTCATGGTTATACTCTAGCTCCTGGTTATAATTGTATTTGCTATCAAACGAAAAACATACGTGAGGTTATGAGCGAGATTTGCAAGTTTTGCAACTCTCATCTATTATTAAATTTTCCAGACCTGTATATAAAATAAACAGTAAAACACTGATTACATAGTACATACGAAACAATCTTTGTTGTTGTTTGTTTGCAGAACACGTACTTGACAAAGACTTAAAACCACGTGATGCAGTGCGCCATTTGTTTAATAATATTATTTTCAGTGCTCTCACAGTCAAATTTTCGAATTGTTAGAAAAAGCTCGAAAATTCCTCACATTTCCTTAAAATTCCTTAAATTGGTAAAATTACTACACTGGCCTGATCACATAGTTGCCAAAAAGTTGTTTTTTTCCTCCTTTTTTGCTGTTTTTCAATTTTTCAACCTTGTTTCTAGGCACTAAAAACGGAAATCATTTGATTGTTAGCATAATGCCATAAAGAAAACATTCAACATGATGTATTTTCAGGGCCATAGGAAGCTCTTTTCGATTGGGGGACTGAAAGCGAGGGCCGAAGGCCCGAGGAAATTTTTAAATTTAAAGTCTCTGAAATGCCATTTCCTAGACTGATGGTCAGAAAACAGCGTTTTAGTATGTAGAAATTTACAATTCAGTAGTCCTAAATGGGCGAAGGTGTATTTAATTAACTATATTTTGGATAAGTTGCAGGAAAGTATGGGTAATATCTTCATTCTTTGCAGTTTGTCATGGATTAAATGATAGGTCTGCAATCTGCATGATTTTAAAAAATGAATGATTATTTAGCAAATTATTGGGGGGGGGGCGGCTGCAGAACCCCCCAGCCCCCACGGTTGCTACTGCCCTGATTTTTAATCGTTGCTGCATTGAAGGGAAATTGCTAGATAGTATACTTCAAAATAAGGTTTCCGTTTTCATATCAATTTTTTAAATAAGTTAGGGTTACGTTAGGGTTAGATTGGATTAGGGTTAGGATTAAGGTTAGCATTAGGGTTAGGGTTTAGTTTTGCGTTAGGATGTTTTTTTCTACGTTATAGAAACGGAAACCTTATTTTGAAGTATACTATCTAGCAATTACCTTGCATGAAGAGCTTATAGAAAATCTGCCGGATTTCAGAAGAAACAGCATATATACTGACATTTAACTTTTGAGAATTTTAATCGAAAGACAGCCATATGTACATTTATGACACGAGAACATACGAATATATGTAATTATGTGCGTATAATATTGCTACTTTCAAGTTTAAATCGCATTTGCGTGGCTTGGTTATCGTCCGTCCAATGTTTTTAGTCCAGGATAAAATGTTTCGGAAATTCCTTAAAAAAATCCTCAAAAACCTAAATTCCTTAAAAAAATCCTTAAAAAGCTCTTCAAAATTTCTATTTTTAATTAAGGATAATTCCTTAAAGTGAGAGCACTGATCATTTTGTTTATTTTTAAAAAATTATTTAGAATTCCTACCATTTATATACGATATACTTCATGTAAAATAAACATTACAGCATTACGCCGACAGTTTCCGAATGCGTGACGATACTGAGTTTCTGGATATAGAAATTATCGAGGGGTCCGACACGGCTAAAATCTCGTACCCTCGACTCAGAAATCAACAGAAATCAAACCCGAAATAAAAAAATCACGAGAGAAATCAGTGAATTTTGAAATCAGAGATCACTAAATTAAAACTTTGTTATTATTGAGCCCACACAGTTTCATATGGCAGAGGTACCCACAGAAATCAGGAAATCGGGTTAGATATCAGGAAATCACGTTAGAAATCAAGAAATCGCATTATAAATCAACAGAAATCCGTTTAGAAATCAACAGAAATCAGATTATAAATCAAGAAATCAGGTTAAAAATCACGTGATTTCGAAATCTCGTACGCTTCATGTGGCCGTGTCGGACAACTCGGAAATTATAGATATCAAACATTTTATAAAACATGTTTGTAGGATGAAGAAAGCACGAGATTGAAACAGTTTAAATAAAATGCAAGCTAAATAAAGAAGTGTTGACAACATACAAAACAGGACAATTTCACTTACAAGGGTTACAAGGTAATTTATAGGATTATAGCTTATTATTACTGTATAAATACATAATTGTGCGTTTCTACCCCCTGTGGGCTGTGGTTCTTTTGGAAATCAAATATTTATTATATTTTGCAATTTTAACTCAACATAAATTAATAATATTAAAGTTTAAAGATGCGGTACAGTCCGTATTATTCGAAAACTATTTATATTTTCATGATTATAGAGTATAATAAATTATCAAGAGACAACAATCAAGCTTTGCAAGAACATAAAATGAAGGAAAAACCTAAATAAACTGTTTGTAAATAAAAAGAGGGCTCCTTTGTGCACATGCGGAGATCGGACTGTACCGCATCTACGGTACGTGTAGTTTAGTTATAGGTTGGATATTGTAATTATCAAGGGCGGCGGAAAGTCGATAATTGGGGGGGGGGGGCTGATATTCATATATTTGTGTTCGCAGACTGTAAAAACAATCGCTTTCAAAGGAAATAAATGATGCAGAACATGAATATATGAATATCAGCCCCCCCCCCCAATTATCGACTTTCCGCCGCCCTTGGTAATTATGTACCATACATGCCCCTTAAGTAGAGTGTATTTATTAGCTGCATGTTTACAATATTGTTGGTATATAATGTGGCCATGAATAACCACATGACCCCACAATTAGATGAAGCCCAATGGCTTCAAAATAGACAATGGATGAAAATTTAATGAATATTGAGCTTTATATATGATTCCGGTTAAATACAGTAATTAATTAACCTAGCTTTATATAGCATGTTCTAATAATTGTATTTTGCTTCATACAATGCATATGTGTGTGGAAACATTACATTATTATGAGCTCACTCCCAATTGGGGCTTTTCAGTGACCGATTACATCAAGTATTATGATTACTTATGTTAGCCTAGACTATTTATCTTTACAACAATGAGAACATAGTATTACTTTCCTAACTGTGTTTATCCTAACCCACCCTGCCAATTTTGCCCTGTGGGAGGAAACCGGAGCAAAATATAAAATTCAATTACCTTGAAAACACCTAAATTGCAACCCCTGAAATTTAAGATTTTTTCTTAAATCGCCTAAAAGCGCATTAAATCGCAGTGCTTGAAAGTCCCAGTTTTTCCTTAAATCGCCTAAAATCGCATTATCTCACGGCGATTTACCGCCCCAGAGTAGGCCTATCCGTCAACAATATTATATGTTAATATTTTTCTTGATCATGTCTTTGCGAGTGTAGGTGGGCCGGATGCAACTATACCTGAAAATATATAAGGAGAATTTTGACGTTTCAAGCGAATGCCCTTCGTACGTCTGGAATTAATAGCGGGGATCGGGAAAATTACTTGAGCTTCTATACTATAAGAATATAAAAGCGATCATGCAACAAAAATAAACCAGTAACAATGATGGTCAACCAGTGACAATGACAAATATCCAATGAAAACGATAATCAACCTCAAGAGATTTCCCATAATCTCCGCAATGAAACGTAGCTATCGATATTTCTTTCTGATAGTATACACCACAAGGTAATTTCTACTATTTTCTACGATCGGCTACTGGCGATGCTTTCGGGAGGAATATGTCATTTGCTGACATATATCTTTTTATTAATATATGAACTTCAAAATTTCCAATGTTTCTCAAAACAATTTTTACATGAAATATTGACAATTGTAGCGCGTTTTTCTTGAAATTGGAGTGTTTTCAATGTGAGGAAGGCGTACCAATATAAATGTATAAAAGAAGTATGGTATTACGAATGTATAGACTGGTGTTTATAAGTACGTTGTTTTCTTTTTTATATTCCGCAAAGATGATTCCAAAATGTTAAACGTTTCGAAAAAACTATCGAATTTTCCCAGGATGTTTTAAAGAGAAATATCACAGCTGCAAACCCCCCCAACGAACATAATATTATGACGTTTCTCGTGGACAAAATCGATATGTGACGCTTCCCTAAGTCGCTGGAGCAATCTACCCTGAGCCTGCGATGCTTTGACGGAATGTCACGTTTGCGATATAAAAAAAAACGGGGAAAAACGAACGAAGACAGAAAGCCCCATTTTATAACACTGGCTCGTTCGGTCAGTGTAAAAAGCAGAATTTCTTACCGTAATATCGAGTGCATGGGCTGCAAATCCAAATACTCCATAAGGGTACAATGAAGGGATATAGTTTACCAGTGGGGCGTGAGAATATTGAAATACATAAACTTTTGTTGTATTCATGTGTTTAGATCTTAGTTTGGCCTCCTGTCTGCTCCCACAAATCATCATTCGATCTGACTCAAATGCCACGCTTGGTTTTAACGCTTCCAAATAAGAGGAAATGCATTTCGGTTTGTAAAATTGTCTTGCTTTCTCATACACCGCTTTGGATGAATTCTTGAAAGTCATCTTTAGCAATTCCTCGAAATGATTCAAGTAATAGCTTATGTTTGTAGACTTTTGCAATACATGTTGCTGGAGCAGAAACATTTCATCTTTAGTAATTCCAATAATTATATCTTGGTTTTTTACGTCTTTGTCCTCCCATATTTTTTGTGGTTTATCAGAAATGAATTCTCTATCAACATTTGGACCAGTCCAGATTCCTTCAATTTCCTGGATGTTCACCACGCTCTTCCATTTGTCTTCAGTCACATTTCGTAGACACTCCAACAAATTTTCATCGTTGTTGCAATTGACTTTTCCTAGAAACCATTTTAAACCATCTTCGATTTGGGAATTTGTCATAATCGCCCACGGCATAAGCATGTTTCCACTTTGCAAAATAGCTTTGTCAAAGAACTCCCAGCTACCATTAGATAACGTATGTGCTGAGACACTCGCTCCTCCAGCGCTCTCTCCAAATATGGTGATTGATTTTGGATTTCCACCAAAACATGCAATGTTCTCTTTAACCCATTTCATCGCCAAACGTTGATCATATAGACCGAGGTTACCTGAAGATTACAGAGAAACAATATTAAACAAACACTGTATGACAACAAAAATTGTTTCCATTATTTTAACGAACGTTTGAAGTTACGTGAAAAACTATAATCTTACAATTTCTTCAAAGCTTTCTTAGACTCAGTTCTGGAAAGCTGTCCGCCATCTTGGATTATTGTAGATATGCATGGTGCTTCTAACGCATAAAAACACAATTTTTTGAACCTGCTGTCTTGCGATTTCCGTGCAGCACTCTAAACGACTGAGCTACAGAGTCCGGGTGTTGATTGAATTCCTCGCTCCCTATATAGGTTTTTATTCCAAACGATTTATTTATTTATGATCGGGACACTGTAATTAATTATTAAATGCTATTACAAACATCCCTTCATCAGTGAAACTAATTATGTGAAATTTACATTTTACGATGGCGTACCTTTAATCCTGTTATCGCCAGTCGTGAGAAATCCAAGAGCTGATAATCTGTAATTGATCGTGACCAGTATCACTTCACCGACTGCTACGAAATTTGAACCAACATACTCACCAGAGTGTCCACTCCGAAACGCTCCACCATGTATCCAAAGCTAACGAAAATATATACTACGTCATTCAAAGCATTTTACCTGACCTATCAGTATATTCATTTTGTAGTTAGGTTTTGAGAGTGGGGAAACGTTATGTCTTACCATGGAAAAAACCATAGATGCACTCCTTTAAGATACGCGGAACAACAACAACAACGACAACAACAACAACAACAACAACAACAACAACAACAACAACAACAACAACAACAACAACAACAACAACAACAACAACAACAACAACAACAACAACAACAACAACAACAACAACAACAACAACAACAACAACGACAACAACAACAACAACAACAACAACAACAACAACAACAACAATAAACAACAACAAACTACCGGGTGGCCCAAAAAAAAGTACTCCTGTTTGATTCGTAATAACTTCTAAACAAGTAAAGTTTTTAAAGAGAAATAACTTGCATTAAATAGAGGAAGGACTAACTTAGATTTTGATATATTACGGTTGTATTTAACTTAAAAATTCACGGAGATATTAATGTTAAAAATGGGGAGCATATTTTGGAATGTGTCTAAAATTAGCGAAAATCGGCGTATCAAATATTAACTCCAGCGTTTGTTTGCTTAATGACATATTAGGCTAACTTGTATTTCAGCGAATTATCGTTAAGGTTTGTAAGGGATATGGCGTAGATTTAGACATCTTACATGTAAGTCTTAGCTCATTGTTTCCTGAAATATGAACGTTCGAAATTATGCAAGTATTTAATATTAGGTCTTTGCAAACTTAAGTGTACATGAAAGACTGACCATGGAAGGCAGGCGCTTAAATTTTTCGTATTCTTAAATAGCCTAATTTTTTTATGTTTTTAATGGGTTCAAACAGACTGAGTACATTATTTCTCGGTTAGAGCAGGATGAATATTCTTTATTGAAGGAAATAATATTGCTTTTTGCAAATACACATCACCGTATCAACGCTACTATTTTGTTACGTTTTGTTCCAAAAATGTTGCATGTCTCTGGGGAGTTGCTTAATTATTATGTCTTATGGAGTTGTATGGTTTGATTGTGTTTCATATAATTCTCAGTTTACTCCATGAACTTGCCAAGATTAAGAAACGGCAAAAGAGTTTGGGTGTTCTTAACAAGATTTCAGAACGTTGCAGAAGTTAGAAGAGCTTCACAATTCCGTTGTGAAGCTCTTCTAACTTCTGCAACGTTCTGAAATCTTGTTAAGAACACCCAAACTCTTTTGCCGTTTCTT